AAGATAGGGTTTCTCTGTGTAGTCCTGGCTGTCCTGGAACTCACTCTGTAGACCAGGCTGGCCTCGAACTCAGAAATCTGCCTGCTTCTGCCTCCCAGGTGCTGGGATTAAAGGCGTGCGCCATGACTGCCTGCCTTCCACCTTATTCCTTTAATATATGTGTGAGCACTGTGCCCATACATATGTCTGTGTTGTACCTCATATGTGTCTGGTACTGATGGAGGCCAGAGCACAGTAAGATCCCCTGGAGCTGCAGTTATATCCAGTTGTGAGCTGACACGTGGGTGCTGGGAACTCAACCTGGATCCTCTGGGTTAAGACGAACTTAATCCTGAGTCTCTCCTGCTCCTTCACCTTATTTTTTGAGGCAAGGTCTTACAAAACCAAGGTCACTGTTTTGGCTGGGCTGTCTTGGGATCGAGGTCGATGTGTATCCCCTAGTGCTGGGGTGACACGCCTGCTGCCACACTCCAGCTTATGTGTGTACTGGGATTCAAACTCGGGTCCTTATGCTTGCAAGCACTTTTCCAACTAAGAGAATATCCATCATCCTTTATTTTATGTTTTTGTTTTTTTCGAGACAGGGTTTCTCTGTCCTGTCTCGAGAAAAAACAGCCCTGGCTGTCCTGGAACTCACTCTGTAGACCAGGCTGGCCTTGAACTCAGAAATCCGCCTGCCTCTGCCTCCCAAGTGCTGGGATTAAAGGCGACCACCACCACTGCCTGGCTATTTTATGTTTTTGATATTGGTCTAACAGTGTAGCCTAGGCTACCCTGGAACTCACACTGTAGCACACACTGGCCTCCAACTCATGGTTCTCCTTCTGTTCAGTCTTCTAAATGCAGGGATAATACACTACACTCAACACATCACACACACACACACACACACACACATTTTTTATTGAGGCAGCATTTTACTATAGAGACTAGGCTGGTCTAGAGCTCACAGCAATCCCCTGTCTCTGCCTCCCAAGTGTTGGACTCGCAGGCATATAGGTCAGCAAACCCAACCTTGAGCCCACCAGCCTTAATAATTTATGTGACTGTAGATCTGCCGGAATCTGTCTCCTCTCTGGGCCAGGTTTCTCACGAGGAAAGAAGGTAGGCACCAGGGGCTATCTCTAAGGCTCCAAAGTGTTTGGTACACAGTAAACAGTTAATAGTTGTGGATCCTATCTATTCATGTTCAAGATGCCATCCTGGGGACACGGGCTTTTAGGAGAGCTCCTTTCCTCCTTCCTGAATCTCCTCAAAGATCCAGGCTCAGCTTTGAAGACGAAATTCAGGTAGTCTGTACTTGCAGAAGCTGCATCTCTCTCCACTGACTGCTCGAAAAGTTGCCTACCCATCTGGCCCAGGCGATAACTGCACTGTGCACTCTCCAGGTAAACCACCAGTCCTACTCTGGGGAAGTCTTAATGTTGGCAAGTCCTCAGCCTTCTCCCTGGCAGCTTCCCAGAGGGGACCCTCCTCACTCACCGTTTCCGGAGTACTCAGGCTTGGGACCCTGGACCCCGCCCCACTGCCGCCGGGAGCCGCTGGAAGGCCACCGCCTACGCGCAGCTTGCCATTGGCTGCCTGAAATGCGCATGCCCTTTGGCCGCAGTCCGTCCCGCCCAGCTCACGGTCTTACATTCCTATTGGTCATTGTAGAAGAACGGCCACGCTCTGAATGTTGATGGTGAGGGATTATTTTAGTCGTGATTTGTTGGAGCAGCGAGCGGAACCGATGAGGCCTATACGATTGGACGTCCGAGGTGAGGGCGGAAATGCAGAGGAGGGCTGCAGGGCCGGGCGGAAAAGTGAGGTCGGTAGGTGAAGGGCCTGGAACCCGCATTGCCCAGGCTTCTGCCGCCCCACACCAGGGCACCGCGGTGCAGTCACTCAGGCTTGAGGCTCCCACTACTGCTACCTCCCTTTAAACACTGTAGTCCAAGCCCCACCACACAGCTTCCTTGAATGGTCTTTGGCTGTAGCTCAGTTGGTAGACTTTGCCAGCGTGTGTGAAGATCTGGCTCCATTCCAGCACCACCAACTACCTTTAAGTGTGAGGACACAGGCCTATAGTCTCAGCGCTTGAGTGGTAGAGAAAGCTCAGAAGTTCAGTGTCATCCTCTTTACATTGGGGTGTGGCGAGATTTGAGAGCAACATAGACTGTATGAGACCCAGTTTTTTTATTGTTGACTTGGTTTTTTGGAGACTAACCGTGGCTGTCTGGGAAATTGCTCAGTAGACCAGGCTGGCCTCAACTCAGAAATCCCTGCCTCTTAGGTGCTAGGATTAAAGGCACATGCCACCACCACGTTGCTGGTTTTAAGACAAAACAGTGACAAAAAAGTCAGTCCTTGGCGCTCTGCTCCATGAGAACCCAGCCTAGGCGCTGGTCTTATCCTTGGTCTGTCCAGACCCACATTAGGCAAGAATCACACCCAGCCCTTAATCTCTGATCAAGACTCCTCACTTCTGATGTATGCCTTTGTCCTTCCCTTTAGCAAGGTCTGGAAGGATGGCTCAGAGGGTAAAAACCACTTGGTGCTCCAAGTTCAGGACTCACCATCCACATAGCAGCTCGCAACCATCCTTATTCCAGTTCCAGGGGATTAGACACCCTCTTCTGACCTCTGTGGGTAGCACACACAAGGCGCATACACATATATGCAGACAAAGTACTTAACACACGCTTAACATTTATTACAAACAACTAGCATGGTGGTAATTTCAGTACTTGGGAGGCAGAAGTAAGTGTATCTCTTTGAATTCAAGTCCAGCTTGGACTAGTCAACAAGTTCAAGCCAGCGTGAGCTACACAATGAGACCCGGGCCCCCCCCCCCCAAAAAAAAAGGAAAAAAAAAAACAAAGAAAAATCCCTAATATGGACTACAGAGGTAGTTCAGCAGGGGAAAGGCATTTGCTGCCAAACCTCAATTAAAGTCCTAGGGCCCCAGATTCCACATGGGAAGGAAAGAATGGACTCCCTTTTGTGAGTTGTCATCTGATACCACATTCTGCCTACACACACACACACACACACACACACACACACCCCGTTTGTAAAAAAATACATGTGAGACCTCCTCCCCCTCCCCCCATCTTTCCCTCCTCTTCCTCTCCCTCCTCCTCTTTTGCTTCTTCTTTGTTTATAACTGTTTTTATCTGCCTGTATGTAAATGTACCCTGTTACTTCAGAGGCTAGAAGAGGGCCCCTGATCCTCTGGAACTGGAGTACCAGATGGTTGTGAACTACCATGTGGGTGCTGGGAATCTAACTCTGGTCCACTCTGAGAGCAGTCAGTGTAGTCAGCCAGAGATGTCTTTCTTTCTCTTTCTTTTTAAATTTAAAAGCATTTATTTTATTTGTATAAGTACACTGCAGCTGTCTTCAGACACACCAGAAGAGGGCATCAGATCCCATTACAGATGGTTGTGAGCCACCATGTGGTTGCTGGGAATTGAACTCAGGACATCTAGAAGAGCAGTTAGTGCCTTTAACAGCTGAGCCACCTCTCCAGCCCCAGAGATGTATTTCTTTCTCTGTCTCTTTTTGTTTTTTTTTTTGTTTTGTTTTGCTTTGTTTGTTTTTGTTGATGGGTTTTGTTTTTTTGAGACAGGATTTCTTGAGACTGGTTTTCTCTGTATAGCCCTGGCTGTCCTAGAACTCACTCTGTAGACTAGGCTGGCCTCGAACTCATTTACAAGGACAAGCTTTATTTAGCTTTCTCCATATATTTTTAAGATTAAACCTAAAACAAATAACAAAAATCAAGTAAAGTTTATTTGAAATCAAGTATACTTAATTGATGTCCCTTAAAACTTTTCAGAGGGGGAGGCAGAGGCAGGCAGATTTCTGAGTTCGAGGCCAGTCTGGTCTACAGAGTGAGTTCCAGGACAGCCAGAACTATACAGAGAAACCCTGTCTCAAAAAACCAAAACAAAAAAAAAAAAAAGAAAAAAAAAACTTTTCAGAGGGCTGGAGAGATGGTTCAGAGATTAGAGCACCAACTACTCTTCCAGAGGTCCTGAGTTTAATTCCCAGCAACCACATGGTGGCTCACAACCATCTGTAATGGGGGTCTGGTGCCCTCTTCTGTTGTGCCTGAAGAGAGCAATGGTGGTGTACTCATAAAACATAAATAAATCTCAAAAAAAAAAAACTTTTCAGAGATCTGCTGAATATGACATTTAAAATGTGTAATGGAAAAAGTTTCTTGTGATGGCCAGAGATGTCGGAGATACCTGGTCCGAGAAGCATCCCTGAGGTCTCCAAAGAAGACAGGTTGGGCCCAGATGACTCCACCTGGATTGTGGCAAAGCTAACCACTAGGAAAAACTGCCCCATGTCACCAGTGCTCTATGGACATGTCCAGACGACCGACCTACTCTGCCTAAGTCAAAGTGTGGCCAATGGTCCCATACTCCTCCTCCACTGAAAACCTCTCAAACCCGGGGTCTGGCAGCCCAAAGCCTATGCTGTTCTGTGCAGCAACCGCATATATAACCCTGCCCTTCCTATGTGACAGCTGAAGACCTGTGACCACTGTCCCCAACAAGCCCATTAAGACCATGGGACCCTAGGACAACAATCTAGGTAGTAGGTAAGTCTCTGTCAATTTAATTGATACATGAGTCACTTGGATTGTACCCTCCTGCTGTAATTTACCCTTCTCAGACTCTGATGGTGTTGATAGCTAACTGTAGTTGTCAGTTTAGCAGCAGCTGAACTGCAGGTTTAAAGACCTGGTCAATCATTTCACATAGGAAAACCAGGCCTGCTGGGCAGTGGTGGCGCACACCTTTAATCCCAGCACTTGGGAGGCAGAGGCAGGTGGATTTCTGAGTTCAAGGCCAGCCTGGTCTACAGAGGGAGTTCCAGGACAGCCAGGGCTATAAAGAGAAACCCTGTCTCAAAAAAAAAGAAAGAAAGAAAAAGAAAAACCAGGCCTTACTTTTCCAGAGTGACTAGGTTGCCTGATGAAAAAGGCAAACTCACAGACAGGTTTACCTGCCTCACACACTTCATATTAAAGGAAATACATTTCAGATGTAACCTTTACTAACAATTTAAAGGAACTTAATTTGCAAAGACTGGACTCAGTAATCAACCACTTACATATGTCTAATAATAAATAATTAGATAAGAAGTTTAAAGTTTATATGAATTAGAAAAATCTAAAATTAATTCAAATTATAGACATCTGAGGACATGAAAGTTGAAATAAGCTATGAGGATTTAAAGTATGATTTACAAGATATAAATACAGCCGAGCAGGGGTGTCACATGCCGCTAGTCTCAGCTCGAGAGACAGATGTGGGCTGGTGTCTGCAGAGACCAGGACAGGCAGAGCTAAGTAGAGAAACTGTCCCCAAAACAAACACAAACAAACAAAAAACCCAAACAAACAACCCCCCCAAGAGATCGATAATTAAGTTATTTTATGTTGTTATACTGAAATTTCACAAGTTCAGAGTTTTAACATTCATGAATCAATAGAGTTCTGAAAAAAAAAGAAAAAAAAATAGAGTTCTGATAAGCTACTAGAGCACCGGTTAGTATTATCTGTCAAGATTTTAAATCTCCTCTCATTGTCTCTTTTAAATATAAACTTAGGGATGTTTCTCATCATGCTAAAAACATCTCAGTCCAACTTGGGGGGAAAAGATTTACACTTTTTAACCTAACGCCATAGCTTTTTGCTAGGCTCAAAGGCTAAGTCTACTCCAGCTGTTTACAGATGCCTGTTGGCTATTTTTTTCTACAAAATGGATTTCAATGCAGATTATAAATAATGATAATATAAGCCTGAGAGTGTCAAGAAAATCCTGACACTTGGGTCAACCAGAGCCAGCTAAGTACTCCTGTCAATCAACAGCCTACGCTTCCCTGCCTGTAGTCCATTCCTGAGGCACTCCATATGTTTCCTTTAACTTCATTAATTTCTGTCCCTAGTCTATATCTATACTGGCTTGGTTCCACTCAGCTGGAGGACACCATACATAAATCAGAAGCAGATGGCTAACTTCTCCAGATATGATCTATACTGTACCAGACTCAAACAGTCCTACAAAAACAGAAAGCCCTGGAATTGCTGAAAACTGATGGGAGCCAACCCAGCGGATGCGATTGTTCCCCATCTCTTCGGCTGGGTCGGCAAACCATATGCTTCTGGTGAAGGCCTCACTGCCCTATTTCTTCCCCTACTCTGGCTAATAGTCCAGCTTTCCTGGGCTGTGACAGAAAGTAGTTACAAAGCAGAGAGCATCATCCCCTTCTCAACAAAGTCCTGGGGTGTTAGATCCCAAGGAAACTCCCTAGTGAAGGAAACAAAATGGCTACCTTTTAAAAAAGGTCTATTTATTTATTTTATGTTAATGAGTACACTGTGGCTGTCTTCAGACACAGCAGAAGAAGGCAAAGGATCCCATTACAGATGGTTGTGAACCACCATGTGATTGCTGGGAATTGAACTCCAGACCTCTGGAAGAGCAGTCGGTACTCTTAACCTCTGAGCCATCTCTCCAGTCCCCAAAATGGCTACTTATAATACCTATTACATAACAAGAATATATGGTTTTTAAAGAATTGT